CTCCACACCAGGCCTCTGATCTCCCTAAAGCAGCCCCGAGGGGAAGCCTCAGCGGAGGACGGCAGAACCCTGACCCAGCTTGCCTGGAAGCACCCCCATGCTCTGCAGGGTCACCCCGTTGTTTGTCTTCCAGAAGACCCTGCCAGATTTCCCTGTAAAGGGATGTCAGGGGAGGGGCCCTCTCCTCACTGTGCACCTCTACTTCCTTTCCTGCTGAGGATTCTTTTCATTTCTGCACTCAGAGGGGCCCAGCCCCCTACCCAACCCATCCGCTCTGGTCCCCAAACAGTGGTAGGCACGGTCCACCTTTTTACAGGACTCCCGGTGGGCGAAACTCTAGCCCCGCCCAGGACAGGCAGGGCCCAACCTCATTGGTCCAAGCCACTCTCCAGGGATTGGCTGCTGGCGGGCTGACATGTGACCCAGTTCTGGCCGATGGGGTGTGGATCCGTGGGATGCTCCAGGAGTAGCTAGGTGTGAAGGACCCTGAGCGCAGGATTGCTGCGTGTGGATGGCCCCAGTGCTAGACTGGCGGGGCAAAGCAGAGGAAGCCGGGTTCCTCGACGCTGCTGGAGCAACCGAATCCACTCTGGCCACTTTGCTTCCATCTGTCAGTCCCACGGATCATCGCCTTCCTCCTCCCGCGGCCACTCCGAGGTAGGATTTGGTACTTGCACCCCAATTCACACGTACTTTTGAGAAGCTAGTGGCAGCACTGACCTTCTCCTGCGGGAAAAGGCAAAGTGTCGAGCAATCGAGGAGGGTTTGCCGGGTCATGAGGTCTGTGCTTGTCTCATTGCTGTCTCCCCAGTTCTGGCCAGGGGAGGAGGGTGGAGGGCGTGGGCTGACTGGGTTCTGAGAGGAATTTAGCTGTAGGCAAAGACTGGAAAAGAGGGGTGCAAGGAGGCACCCTCCACTTCCTTTTCGGTGGGAAACCCTAAGTGCTGTGATCCTCAAGGATGTAGGTGCAGGGCTCCAGCCAGTGTGCAGGTCTGGGCCACTTCTGTCTAGGGAGGGGAGTGGCTGGGTAACAAGACACGAGGTGTGGTTTGTGGAGGGAGAGGACAGCATAACGGTCCCGTTAGTCCCCAAGTTCTCTGAGATGGAAGGTGAAAGTGGGAGGATGCTGAGACAGGCTTAGAGAACATCGGGTTGTGGTCTCTGGGCCAGGATGGTTCAAGGCTCGCATAGTGAGAAGTCTTCTGAGTCTTCAGGAGGGCAGACCTCCGAGTGCCCGCTTGAACCCCAAGAGTTTGGAGGGAAGAGAGGAGACAGCTCTGTCTGAATACCCCAACCATTCTCCCCACCAGGGGGCAGCCATTGTGTCCCTCCCTTGGTTAGCTTTCTCCAGAAGGTCAAGTTCACTGGCCTGGGCTCTTATTACAGGCTCATTTTACTTTCCCTGTTAAGGTCCTAGATTCATATCGTTTTGGGGGGCCATACCCTTTCAGGTCCTAGATTCATACGTTTTCAGGGCTTATGCAGTGCCAGGGACGATGAATGTGGGTTGCCTGCGTGTAATGCAACTACCTTACCTGCTAAACTTTTATCTCTGGCCTCAAGACCCTAGTTTGTTGGTTTTTAACAGTCTGCAAACAGCAACCACAACCAAGTATTGTATCATACTGGAAGCTGCTCTGAAACATCTGGAGACCGGGGGCTTATCAGTGGTCTCTTAAGGCATGGCCTGACTTACATCATGCTTACATCATGCTCCGTGGAGAAGCCCCAAAGCTAGCCCAGGATTGAACCTACTTTTTCAAAAGCTAAAATCCCAATGATTTAAGTGCTGGTCAAGTCTTAATGTCTTCTGATTAGATTCATCTCCAATATCATCTCTTGAACTAGTAAACTAGTAATGTTTTTTCACAAGATGCTTCAGTAACTCTAGTACTAATTATCTATCTTAGATTTAAAAAAAAAATTAACGTCTCAACTATTGCATGGGACCACAGTTCCAGAATGGCCCACCCTGGTCCACACCCAAGTGTCTCAAGGTAAAAGAATGTTGACATTTAGCTAGGAACTTTGAAAACACTTGAGAATAAGTTATGACCCAAACTGAAGCTTCTTAATGACCTGTATAAAGTTCGGCTCATTCATAAAAGGATCCAGGCATATGAAAACAAAGATTCCAGCCATATTCAGGAAATAGAGTTCCTTCAAAATGGTCAGTTCATGTTTCGATTAAATTGTGCATTTTTAATACAGTTAGGTAAAAAGTGAACCTCTTAAAAAAACACATGCGGGAATTTAAAATAAAGCAGTGCATCCACTTTTCAGGGTCACCAGTACCACAGTGAGATTTGTCTCTTAAAACAATGACACTTAGTATTTCTGTAGTTCTGTGAATACTTTTGAAGTGTCATATTAAAACCCATCTCGTGGCCTTGAGGCAAAGAGAAGCAATTAGTCTTGGAGTTGTGAATAAATAAAAATCCATTTATACACCCGTCCTTGACATGTACCTTGCAAATCTTAGAAACTTCATCTAGTGGGAAAAGAAATGTTAAATCATGAATACCAATACTAATCTCATTGCCATGTGGCTTCCTAAAACAGTTTCGTTTATACCAATCTTTTAAGTATTAATTTATATGTATATATTCATCCATATTGAACACAAAACAAAGCGGCTCTAGTAGGCACTTAGGAGAGACTGACAGAAGAGAAGAACGTTGGGGGCCACTTGGGCCATGGCTAGGTTGTCAGTGGGTGCCCCTTCCCCTGCACCCCCTATTCTCAAAGGTCTAGCAGAGGAAGATTCTGCCGCTGACCTTAAGAGGTACCAGTGCTCTCCTCTAGGGTTCCAACTAATGCTAAGGGAAGGTTGAATAGGTTTGAGTATCAGGAAACTGCTCACTTCTGATAATTTCAAGTCAGGTTGGCTGTGAAGGGACCCTCCTTTGCTGTTCCAGAGCTGGGGGGCAAATACGGAGCCGAGTGGACAGTGGAAAGGAGATAGCTCCATGGCCCCGCCTGGGTAGAACCAGCAGAATGGTGGCAGGGCCGGGCTGAAAGCCGCAAGTGCAGTGGTGCTGAGGCATAGGGTGGGGATGGGGGCAGAGTGGGCAGCTCATGGGTCGTGCTGGAGCCACCAAGCAGATCCCTGACCTACTTCCAGCGCCCCTTTCAGTTCTAGGAGCAGCTAAGAATCCATAAATTAAGGAAATTAACTGATGGGGCCCGCGGCATCTTTGTAAGCTATTTAAATCTATAAATTTACAACATCTTCTGCATATATCAAGTAATTGAACTAACTGCAGGGATGTAACTTTAATGAGAAAATCTCCTCCCCCTCCCCCTTCTTTTCTCCTGTAGTTCCTGCTCCAAAATAAATAAATAAATAAAACCTTCCCTTAGGAGCAAAGTTTCGGCTTCTGCCCGCGTGTTGAAGTTACAGAAGCATCCTCCGGCCGCGCTAAGATTCCCCACCAGTCGAGGGAAGCCAGGCCCCCACTAGGTCGCTCTCACCAGCGCCCCCCAAGTCCCCCGGCCGGCCGCGCGTGCACCCCCCCACCCACGCACCCATCACCACCACCCCGGGTGGAGGAGGCCACTAGAGGGCGTCCGGGTCCGGCTGGAGCGCGCGGTGCACTCCCCGCCGCGCGGAGCCCGCGTGCCCCCGCCCGAGCCGGGCTCGGGCCCCCGCGTCCCCGGAGCCGGACGGGGGCGCACTGCAGGCCGGGCGCGCTGGAGGCGCCGCGCTCCGTTTCCTAGGAGCCGGGGAATGGTCGCGCAGGAGGGCCGGGTGGGGCGCAAAGCGGAGAGAGGAGAAAGAGCAAGGGGCGGAGATAGGAGAGGAGGAGGAGGAGGAGGAAGGAGCTGGCCCCCTCGATTTCCACGCAGTGGACGCCCCGGGCGCCAGCGGGGAGCCCCGGCCGCCGCCGTCTCCATCGCGCCCGCGCGCGCGCGCACACACAGGCGCGCGCCCAGGAAATGGCGCGCCGGGCCGCGGGGCTGCCGCCGGGGTGTCGGCAGACGTCAGCGGGCGGCGCTGCTCCCCGGGAGAGGGGATGTCGGGGCCGAGCCCCGGGAGGAGGAGGAGGGCCGGGGAGGGGGGAAGGGCGGCCCGGCCCGGGGCTCGGTGGGAGCGGCGGCCGCCTCGCAGCCCAGTTGCTCCCCCCCACTCCGCCCCCCAGTCCCGCCCCTGCCCGCGGGCGCCGTGGCGGCGGCTGCTCTCCTCTTTGTAACCGAGGAGTCAAGAAATGTGAGAAACGTGCCCTGTGTTACTTATTTGGGAGCCGAAAATTTATGCCCAGCTGAAAGCGCCCCGGGAAATATTACATCAGATGAAATGACAATGATTAAAATCAGCTTCTCCCCCGCCCCCTCCCGAGCCCCGGAGGAGGCCCGGGCGCCGCGTGGCCGGCCGGCGGGGGGCGGGGGGCCGGGGCGCACGGGGGCCGGGGCGCGCGGCTCCCGGGAGGGCCCGGGCGCGGGGGGCCCGGCGGGCAGGCGCGGGCGGGCAGGCGGGCGGGCGAGGAGCCACCCGGGCGAAAGGAGTGGGAACGGCGCATTTTTGTCGCCGAGCGCGGCAGGCGCGGGCGCGCGGAGCTAATTGCGACTCTAATCCTCTGCCCCGCGGCGCAGCCGAGCCCCGAGCCAGGAGTCGCCGCGCGCTCCCGCCCGCGCGCTCGCTCGCTCGCCGCGCTGGGGAAGTGGGAGCCGGATCGCTGCCCTCGGCGTCCGGGCCCGGGCCGCGACGGGGCGCGGGCGAGCGGCTCGCAGCGCGCGGAGGGCTGGGGAGAGCGGGTTTTCTCGCCGGCGACCGGGGAAGGCCGCTGGAGCGAGAGAGAGAGAGGGAGCGCGCGCGCGAGAGAGGAGGGAGGAGAGGAGGTGGGAGCGGCGGGAGGGCAGCCGGAGAGCGGCGCGAAGAGGCGGCGGCGGCGGCGGCGGCGGCCGCGAGGAGGGGAGGAGGCGAGGGGAGGGCGGGGAGGGGAGGCCCCGGCGCGCCGCGCCGCGAGGGGCCGCGCGAAGCGGGGGCCGGGGCGGGAGGGGTGGGTGGGGGGAGGGTTGGGGGCGAGAGAGAAAGTAACTCCAGGACGAGACCGGAGCGACCCGCTCTGAGCGAGCACAGGCGGCGAGGCTGCTCCCGGCGCCCGACACCGGCTGCTGCGGGGGGCGGGGGCGCCCGATCGGCCGCTCCGGCTCCGAGGTAAGCCCCGCGCGGGCGGCCACCGCGCCGCCACCGCGCCCCCGTGTCCCCAAAGTGGCTGCGATGGCCGGAAAGTCGCCGGGCCGCGCGGGGTTCGGACCTGGGCAGGGGGAGGGGGGCCGGCCGGCGGCTTTGTCCCGGTGCTGCTGCTGGGTGGCGGGGGGCAGGCGGCGCGGGGGGACCCAGCACAAAGGCCTGGCGCGGGAGGGGGGCTGGCCCACGTGGGTTGTCCCTGGCCCCGGGGGGCCCCTGTGCACGCGGGCCGGGCGCCGAGGTTTCTGCTTGCGCGCGGGCCGGGCGCGGGGGTGCGTGTTGCAGGGCCGGGCGCTCGGGCCTCGGTCAGTGCAGGGCCGGCGAGTTTCCGGGGTCACCGCCGGGCTCTTGCAGCTGGGGGCTGCGGGGCCGAGCCGGCCGGGCCGGGCGCCCAAATCAGAGCGAGGGAAAAGTCTCTAACGGGACAGACGTGCGTCCTCTGACGCCCACCACCGCGAGTCCGAAAGGGGGCGGGAGGGACTGGCGCGCCGGCTGTGGCCCCGGCCGCCCGGGGCAGGGGGCCCGCGGCGTGGACACGCAGCCGCCGCCCGCAGGGACTCCCTGACCTGGGTGCGCACGCGGGGCCGAGCACCACAGACACCCCCCCCTCCTCCCACCCCAGCCACACACACAGCCCCGCCACCCGACAACGCATACGCACACACCTAGCCCGGCGCCTTCGCGTCCTCCCGCCCCGACTGCAGAGAAGCCCCAAGTTTTCACTCCCGGTCTCCAAATGTGCATGAAGGAATTTAAGTGCACGAGTGAAGAACAGCATTAGTTTCCTTTAATCCCCCCCTCCCCGTTCCCCCCAACCATCCGAACCCCGGCAACAATAAACTTTGAGAACAAAAGCGCTTTTACGTCCTTAATTAGGCGAGCTTCCCATCTGTGGTCTCGGAGTGTCTGCCTCTGGATTTAACTTTGGCCCCCGCCCCGCCCCCGCCGCACGCCCCCCCCCCCATTGCCCCCGCCCGCTAGGTTCCAGGGGTGCCGGGGCCGCCCCCCACTCCCTCTGGGTCTGGGCCTCGGCCCAGCCGGCTGCAGACGCCCCGAAGTTCCCCGCGGCCGGCGGGCTGGGCGCTGGGCAGGCGCGCACCAGGTGGCCCGGCCGCCTGCCCGCCTCCCCGGGGGCGCAGCTCCGGGACCATTCCGCGGGCCCCTGGCACTCTCGCCCCGGGGCTGGCGCCCAGGGCGCGGAGCCGAAGGGAGCACAGGAGGCGTCTTCTGTTTACCTTTTATGGTTAAAATAACAGCTTAGCCCAAGAAGCGACTTCGCGAAGAAGCGATTTAGTGAAATCGTCTCAAGCTGCCGCAGCTCAGCCAGTTTAATCACCCCCAGAGAGCTGAACAACTGCGAGCACAATGGGACACAAAATCATTTTGTGTGTAAATGAGCGTGGCATTCTGCTCACTTCCCTCTGCTCAGGCAGGCGGGCGGGGGCCTGGTGGTGGCAAGCTCGGAACCGGGGTCTCCCACCGCTGTGGCTGCTCCCAGTCGGGTCCCCAGCCTGCTGTCCTGCCACCCAGGCCCCTGCAACAGGCTGCCCGGCCTTTGAAGAGCCCTGGCCATGGGGGCTGGTCTGGGGTGTGGTGCTGATGTGGAATGCGCTTGTGTCTCTTATTCCATCTCTTACTACTTTTCTGCTTCTGGCCTCAGCAGGGGTCTCAGGGACAGGGGCCTTGTCCAGCGCAGATGAGTTTGTGGAAGAGAGCACTGGAGATTCGGGTCCAGGCGTAAAGCCTGGGGCTTCCAATGGTGAGTGTCTCCTTGGCCAGGGGTGCAGGGGTGTGCTTGCCTGGATGAGGCCAGGGTGGGGGCTCAGCTACCACCAGCAGCTGCTGAGATGGATGGAGCCTTGGTGTTGGGTGTCACTCTTGAGTGGGGTCCACATTCTCAGGCGTCCCCCTGCCTCCCTCCCGGGAATGTCTTACCTTGCAGCCCCGCGGGCCCTCCGTTACCTTCTTCCTCTGCCCCTCGCAGAGCTTCCCAGGCAGAGTAACTCAGCCATTCCTGAGATCTGCTCTGGTTTTCAGAATTTCCTTGAGATAAGTGACCTGCTTTTCTTTAAGCCTGTTGGAACTCAGGGTGGCATTAAGCACCACTTCCCCTGCCCCCCCCCCCCAAAGTGTGTATACATTACCCTGCACTATCCTAATTGCCACCCCCACCCCGGGTATTATGTCGGGAATCTACCCTGCCAGGCTCCCCAGGGCAGAAGAAATCCTCAGAGTGTCACCTTAACTTCCAATGTGCAGGATTGGACTCTCCTTGGCCCTTGGTTAGTGGTTTCCAGGAGGGTGTAGCCTTCTGAGCCTGTCTCCCAGGGAGGTTGCTCCTTCAGTGGTCCCCCTGGGCGAGCTAAGAGAAGGGTAGGTCTGAGAAAGAGAGGGGCGATATTCATTGGGTAGCTCCCCTCTCCCACCTCCCTCCCCCCAACCCCCATGAAGGGACCCCCAGATCCGAGGTATAAGCCCCACCCCTCCCACATAGGGGTGCAGAGGGGCACTCTGTCCCTTTGGTTGGGTCAGACTGCAGCAGAAAGTCCCTGGAGCTGCCCGGGGAGGAGAGGAGCTGGCCCCTTTGCTGAGCTGCCTTCTGTTTCCTGCCGGCCAGCGCCCTGCTGCCTCAGGGGCTATGATCCTGAGGGGGTCTGGAATGCATTAGGCACAGACAATTCGAGGGGTCTGGGAGAAGCTGCAGAGTTGCTGGTCAGGCAAACAAAGACAAGTTTCCTATGGTAGGAGCCTAGGAGAGAGAGAGAGGGAGAGAGATAGGTGACTTCTGGCTTCTGCTTAAAGACGCTTCTCTCTCTGCATTGCCTGCTGCACTGTCATTGCCTCTGAGATGGGGCTGCTCCTCTGACAGGTCCTGACTGCCTGGCTTGAACCCACCAAGGGTGGAGGGTCGGGAGGGGGTGGTGGTGGAGGGGGACCCTCCCCAGCCACAGCCCATAAGGTTCTCTTGCTGATGTAAGAGGAGACACGCTTGGTAAATGGCTCTAAACCAAAATACCACGAAAATCAGATTTGTTCGGAAACATTTGGGGGCAATAATGGTGAGCATATGTTTCAGTCCTGTCATTAGCCGAATTAGCAGACACGGAGCTACCCCCACCCCCAAACGGGCGGGCGAGCTTGCCAGCGAGCCATCCAGGCCGGGTCCTGCAGGCTGGCTTGGGTTCCAGGGACTGGAGCGCGGGGTGGCGGAGAGTCCACGGAGACACCGTCGTCCCTCCCTTCCCCCGCCAACGCCAGAGGAGTAAGCCCCCTGGTTTTGTCGGTGCTTCCCACAGATACTCTGGGCCGCGATGGAAGCCTAGATGCCTCACCGCAAGGAGCGGCAGAGCGGGTCCTCGCATCACGCCCAAGGCTGCGCAGGCGCCGCGGTGAGAGCCGGGAGGGTGGGCTGGGTCAGCGGCGCGGCCCCCTCTGCGCCCCTCTTCCCCCGCGCCTGCTCACCGCGTGCCCTGCCTCGCCGCCCCAGCTTCCGGGCGATGGCTGTTGACTGGCTGGATACGGTTATGTATTTTCTGAAACAAAAATGCTCTTAATTTGATGTGAAATTTACTACATGGAGAAGACTCAGCGCCTTAGGTGCTGAGGAAGTCACTAATTTAGAGGTGTCTCGTTACTGAGACAAACTTGCAAAAAACCCCTGAATCCCAATTCACAAATTGGTGATTCGTTTGTCAGGGGATATTTCACATCTAACACATGAGCCCACGACCTTTAATTAGAATTTTGCAGTTTGTTTTATGCCCCTGGAGGCTGACACCTTGAAAAAAAAAATTTTTTTTTCTTGATTTCTTATTGCTAATAAGCATCTTTCCTTTTTTTTTTTCTTTTCTCCCCTCTGGTCCTTTGAAGAAAATGATGCAAATACTCTTAATTACAGTGGTGGCCATAATCTGTCAGCTGAATATGTGATCAGGCACAGGCGAAGTGATCTGATGAGGTCCGTGGGCGCAGCATAGCACAGGGTGTGCGTGACCGGGGGGCGCGGGCAAACTCGGGTCTTTCTGCCTGTTCCCTGCAGGAAGGAGGAAGCATGTCCCGGCTGTCTCTGACCCGGTCGCCCGTGTCTCCCCTGGCGGCCCAGGGGATCCCCCTGCCTGCCCAGCTCACCAAGTCCAACGCACCTGTCCACATTGACGTGGGTGGTCACATGTACACCAGCAGCCTGGCCACGCTCACCAAATACCCCGACTCCAGGTAAGAGCCGACCTGCGGCATGAGGTGGCTTGTTCCCGGTTCCTGCCAGCTGACACACAGGGCTCTGGGGGTTGACATTTGACAACCTGGGAACTGAAAGCCACGTGGCATGTGCCCCTGACCTGGGGTCATGGGTCAACCTTGATCACTGTGTCCCAAAGTGGGCATCGTCACCAGGGCCTAAGGGGCTGGCATTAGACTCAGTGCCTTGGAGGAGGGAGCACTTTCTATTTGCCGAAAGAAGGGGGTCACTGAGTAATTTTTCTTCCCCTATAAAGGCCACAGAGCGTGGAGTTACCTCTAAGGAGTTATTCCCCAAAGTGGCTTGTTAGTCAATTCCGACCCCTGTCAGAGACCACGTTTCTGGAGGCCCTCTGGTGAGGTTGGGGAGGCAGGGTGGTGGTGATGGAGGAGATTGTCCCTTCACATGGCCCCTATGCCAGACTTCGCCTGACTTTTGCAGGGCAGCAAGTAGGTGTGGCACCAAGTGCCCCTGGGCTCCTGGTGGACACCTCCAACCTTGGGGAATGTGCAGAGAGAAGGGTGGGTGGCTGTTTGGGTGGTTGCCCCTGGGCCCCCAAGAGCCAGCAGGTGCCTGGGCTGGTGGAACAGGGGCTGGCTGGGAGTTCCATGATGTTTAGTACTACCTGAGGTGCTGGAAAGCACGTGCCTGACTCCTGGTCTTCAGGTACAGCCTCTCCCTCTCCCCCTCCCCCGCCCCGATTCCTGGGATGTCTGGAAGGTGCTGAGCACTGTGCCCCTCAGGATCTCTCCCCTTCCCCACCCCCCTCCCCGCGCCCGGGCCCACCTATGCCTGCCAGCAGGGCTGCCCCCAGGTGAGCAGGGTCTGGGAGCCTCTGCTGGGTGCTGCTTGCCCCTGGCCCAGCTGGGCTTGATGTGGGGAGTCATGGCTCCTGCTTCATTCAATTAAAATAACGAGGGGGAGCGAGGAGTTCATTAACACCCCCCTCCCCCCGCCCCGGGGTTGGGCTCTGGGATCGAATTCTTGTCAGGTGACTTTGGCATAAATTGGGGTCTGCTCGTAGGTGGAGGCTGCTTTGGGAGGGGCATTGGCCGGGGTACGGGGCCTCCACCAGACACAGGTGCTTCCTGGAGGAGGGAAGGCTCAGGTGCATGCAGGATCTGGTCTGGAAATTCAGGGTACAGCTGGTGGCCGGGCACCACCCTCAGCCCCACCCAGGAGCCCCTGTGAACTTCGGGGGCCGTAGCTGGGAAAGGCAGCAGCCCTGGGACCTGAGCTCTGGCCTGCAAAGTCCCAACAAGGAGGGAGATGAATTCTGCTTCTTTAATTTAAGTTTTGCCTTTGTGGTCGTCATGAGTTGAGATGGGTCATCCCCTCATTGGGGGGCAGTGTTCGAGGGAATTACACCATCCCCTTACCTGGGGTTTCAGAAAACTGGATACTGCAGACCGGCCCGAGCCTCCTGGTTTCCTGTCCCCAGGCTGTGGCCTGGAACAGGGCCGGGGCCCGGCCCCACCCAGAGCCCCCTGCTCACCCTTGCCCATTGCACTGCTTCTGCACCGAGGCTGCCCCTCACCTCTGGGCAGCTGTCCCCGGAGGCTCAGTCCTCTTCCCGGGGGCCCCTTTGCAGGCAGGGTGTGCTCAGAGGGGGTGCCTGGCTGCATTCTTTCCCAGGGCTGGGGCTCTAGAAGAATCTGTTCTGCCAGTTGGCTTCTGGCTCATGTGAGACAGGTCTTGGGCCTGCAGGGCATGTGATCTCCAACATCAAGCAGGGCAGGTCAGGGGGCAGCTGTGTTGGCAGCACCCATCAGATCTGAATTACTAAGTCTTCCCTTCCCCCCCTTCAGTTTTAGGGTCACACCTGGCGATGCTCACGGCTTACTCCTTCTCCGCACTCGGGGGACTCACTCCGGTGGGCTTGGGGGACCATATGGGTTACTGGGGATCGAACCTGGTCAGCAGTGTGGAAGCCAAGTGCCCTGCCTGCTATACTATCTCTCTGGCCCCAAGTTATTAATTTTTTTTCTTTCATTTTGATGGCCAAATTATTAAACTTTCTAAAAATAAAGCTTTTTCCCCTCCCAGTTCTGGACACAAAGATCAGTTACTCATCCAGTGCCACTGAGGATGGAGTTGCACTGATGCAAAGTCCCTGGGACGCCTGTGGGTTCTGGCCTGGAGGGGGCGTTAGTGTGCAGGGTGGGTCAGAGCTGGAGGCCCAAGAGCTGGTTCCCACAGACTGGTGTTTGGTCTGGCCCCTGAACTGGCTTCCCGGGGTGCCCACACCCTCATTGGTACCCACCCAAAATCATTTACCTGCTGCTCTTGCGGCCCCAGGTGTTTGAGAACGAATCGAACCTTCCATGGAAACATCCGGGAAGTTGGAGCTGACAAACTTTTAAAATGAAGGAAAGAAAGAAAAAAAAGGATGACCCTGTCAGCAGGCGTCACAACTGTCTGGCTTCTTCCCAGGAGCGTCCTGTGGTCGCCACCCCAAATCTCTAGAGTGCTTTCTACCTGGAGGGTGGGCCTGGGGAGAAGCCGACTCAGAAGACCTGACCTGTGGCTGGCATCCCCCAGGCCCTGAGAGATGCAGGCTCTTGGTGTTCTGGGGACACTGTGCTCGGGGAGATCTGGGACCAGCACCCCCCTGCCGTCAGACACCAGGACCCTTCTCACCTCTGACCGTACAGTCACCTCGGCCCCGGTCAGCCCTCCAGAGTTCTTCCTGCCTGCCAGGATTCTCCTGCCATCTGAGAAGCTTAACTGGTTCCCATTGTCGGTCTGTGGGCCAGTGTGGTGCACGGTGTGAAGACATTGGAAACTGTGCCTCAGGCTGGTCTGGAAGCCCCAACAACCTGGCCCGCTGTGGGTCCTGCCCCTCGGCCAGCCATGGGAGTCTGCTCACTGCAGAGTTGCGGCTCAGCCAGAAAGTGGGGAGGCCATGGCTCCGAGGCTGCCCCACTGTGTCTCGGCTCTGAGACCACCTGTGGCGGCCCCTAGACTCAGTCTCCAGGAAGCCAGGGGCCCTCACCCTGAGAGTGAAACACTCACATCTGCCAAGGTCTGCTGTGGGACTGGCTGGAACGAGGCTTCCAGAAGAGCCTTTGGGTACTTGTCCGTCCCCCCAGGCCTGGGGGCTTGCTCAGGAGGCATGATTTGACTTTTTTTTTTTTTTTTTTAACTTTTTGGGTCACACCCGGTGATGCACAGGGGTTACTCCTGGCTCTGCACTCAGGAATGACTCCTGACAATGCTTAGGGGGAATGCTGGGAATTGAACCCGGGCAACACCCGACCCGCTGTACTATCTCTCCAGCCCCATGAATTTGACTTTCTCTGTTGACTGGTATCTGGATGACTGCAGGCCAGGCCCTCCAGTCTCAGGCGGCCTCTCCGCATCTCTCTACAGCTCAGACCACCTCCATCTGCCTATGGTACGCCCCTGTGGGCCAGGGGCACAGGATGAGAAGTAGGACTGCTTGGCTCCCCCATAGGTGATGGCCTCACCTGGGCCACCAGCAAGGAGGACCCTGGACAGGGGGCGTGTCAGACATGCTCACCCTCAGCGTCTGCCCACTGTGTGTCCTGGCTCGCTGGGCAGTGTCTTAGGAGCCAGCACCCGGTGTAGACAAGGAGTGGCCACTGGCCAGGGTTGAGGGATAAGGGCCATGACTTGCACAGGCTGAGCAGAAAGGTCTTGCAGACCCTGGGGGCCGGCTGGGACCTGTCCACCCAGCAGGCATGGCCAGCCTCACTCCTGCACCAGGCCACACCCTTGGCCGTCCCACCCCCACCAGGACACCTCACTGTCCCCAGCTGGGCCTGGGAACTGCAGGGAAAGTAGTTAGTCAGATCAAAACCCGCCGCCTCTGCCCCGGGCTGAATGGGCACAGGCACCAGCCGGGAGCCTCACGTGTGCTGTACATGGTGTATGTGCACCATGGCATGTCTACACGAGGTCCCACAGGCAGCCTCCATGCCGGCCCCTGGGGCAGGAGGAGGGACACACACACACACACACACACACTGCCCTTGGGCGCGCATGGGCGTGGCTGCGGGTCCTGAGAGTTGGTGTGTGGCACATGCCCCCCGCCCCCCAGCCTCAGTCTGACAGACCCCTCCTACACCCCATTCCCCAGCTGCAGCCAAACCATCCAGCCAAACCCTCACTTGGCTCCCATCAGCCTGTGCCCTCTGCCTGGAGGCCCCTGGATAGGCTGGTGATGTGTGTTTCATGGGTGGGGACTCTGGGACTGTTCCCCCAAGAGATGGAGTGTGAGCATCCTCCCTATGGGTGGGCTGGGGTGGTGACTGTGTGGCAGGCTGGCTGGCATTGGGGCTTGCAGCTGGGGGTTCAGTGTCAATTGGGGGGTGGGGAGTAGTTTGCAGGAGGGGTCTGTCAGACTGAGGGAGGGGGACTATGTCCCAGAATGGGTTTTTATCTATTTATTTATTATTTTTTGCTTTTTGACTCATACTCAGCAATGCTCAGGGGTTTCTCCTGTTCTGCACTCAGTAGTCCTGGCATTGCTCAGAGGACTTCTGGGCTGCCGAGGATCAAACCCAGATCGGCAAACACCCTCCCCATTGAACTATCGCTCCGGCTGTTTCTTTTTTGTTGTTGTTGTTGTTGTTGGGGGCCACACCCAGCTATGCTCAGAGGTTCTTCCTATTTCTGGCTCTGTTGCACTCAGGAATTACTGCTGGCAGTGCTTGGTGGACTGTAGGGGATGCTGGGGATCAGACCCGGGTGGGCCAAGTGCAGGGCAAGTGCCTACCCACTGTATTATCGCTCCTGCTCACCAGAACCGATTTTTAGGATGGGAAGCAGAGCAGGCGGGTGGACTGGCTGGCTGGCACAGCTAGATGTGGCAGTGGGGTGGGTGAGTGGCATGTACCACTGTAGGGTAATCTGGTGACCGTTGGTGTGGGGAAGTCCCTACCGGTTGGCCCCGTGGATGGATGGGTGATGGGTGTGGAGCCCACCCTTAGCAGCACCCGTCTTCCCCACCAGGATCAGCCGCCTCTTCAATGGCACTGAGCCCATCGTCCTGGACAGTTTGAAGCAACATTATTTCATTGACCGGGACGGCGAGATTTTCCGCTACATTCTGAGCTTCCTGCGGACGTCGAAACTGCTGCTCCCGGAGGACTTCAAGGTAAGTCTGTGGCCAGGGGGCCCCCAGCGCCATGTTGCCGTTACACAGGGGACGCTGGGACTTAATAAATGGACCCACGGTCGTCATAGCAACCACCAAAAGTTAAACGATGAAGCCGAGGGCAAAATCAGTTTGGCTAAACTCATTTTGTTTTCTCACATTTTTCGCTTATTTATCGGGGTGTAACAACAATTAGGGCACTGGCCGCCTGGCTTCCCTGGGTTGCATGGTTGTCTTCTCGTGGGCATCTGTGGTCCAGAGTTGGGGGTGCCCAGATGGGTGCCGGGTCAGCAGTTTGCAGAGAAAGGCCCAATCCAACCCTGACCCCTTCTAGTTCAGGTAGGAGGCACCCCAGGGTGCTCAGCAAGCCTCTCGGGAGTGTAGGGGAGGGATACAAGCCTGGGCTTATGGGGCATGAACCCCCAAATGTCCCATCTGCCTTGCCATCCGCTACAGAGGCCTGGGGCTGACCTCTCCCTACTCGGTAGGGAGCACAACCCAAGGGGGAGTAGTCCTGGGAGACCACGTCTGGGGGCTCGAGGCTCAGGCTGTGTCTCTGGGCGCTGACTATGGGGATGACTTGGAGGGGTGTTGGGAGGAAGGGGGGGGTGCCTGAGCCAAAGTTCCCCAGGAATGGGAGAGGGTGGGAACCAGGTGGGAACTGGGCCAGGGTTGGGGTTGGCACCTGGGTGTTTGCTTTTGACCTTTGACCTGAGAAGTGGGGATGGTGTGTGGGGGAGAACTGGGGGTGCAGAGGGTCAGCGGAGAGGAGGGGAAACACAGCTGCTCTGCTGTTAGACCAAGGCTGCAAAAGGAGTGGGATGCGGGTGTCTTGGTGGGGTTTGAGGGGCTTCCCAAAGGACCCTTATGGTCTGCAGGGGGACACACAGAGGCCTGGGGTGAACCAGGATGCAGGAATGTACCCCTTCCTGTGCAGAGACCCAGCCGTGTGTTAAACGGCTAGACTGGATCTTGGAGGAAGGCTGAGGCATGCTGTCGGAGAGGCCGATGGAGGATCCAAAAGAGTTAGGGTGCCCATAGTGATGGAGGAGGTCCAGGAGAGGAAGGAAGGGTGTCCTCACTGATGGAGGAGGTCCAGGAGGGTAAGGAGTAAGGGTGTTCTCGCGGATGGAGGAGGTCCAGAAGGCTGCAGAGCCAGCCTCCTAGGGGAAAGGGGACAGAGTTCCAAAGGGTGGAATCAGTGTTGGTGTGTGTGTGTGGCGGGGGGGGGGGAGGGAGGAGGGCTTTAGGCCCGTGGAGGGGCCCCACTGGTCTCCTTGCCTTTCCTCTGAAGACCTTGAGCTAAGCCCTAGTCAGTGGCAGGTGCCAGCAGTCCTCGGCCACTGGGCTGGGGTGCGTGTGTGTTCGGGAGGAAGGTGGGGGAGCCTTTCTCCTAAAGCTGGGGGAGGGTGTGTGTGGGAGGGGGCTGCTGGGTCACATCTCCAGACTCTTGACCGTGTCATAATTCCTGCCCCTCTCTGAGCTGAGTTCACATGCAGGGAAACAGGGATTCGAAGAAGTCTGTGACACCCCCACTTGTCAAGGCTAGCAGAGGTGGGGGAGCCCCCCCCCCCCCCCCACACACACACCCAGGTCTGCTCCATCCACGCTGGGCTGAGGCCCTCCAGGCGGGTGAGCACCAACTGCCCAGTCCCTGCAGTTGGTGGGGGTAGGGATGCAGAATTTTGCTCCGGGCCCCAGGATGTGGATGGACAGGCTCGGGTGTGGACGGACAGGCTCAGATAGGGACTGCCAGTCTCAGCGGATCTGGCTCTCACGCACCCCGGCTAGCCCCACCCCCCCGCACCCTCCCCTCCCCTCCCCTCCTCAGGTCACGTCTCAACTCCTGGGGCTGGCATCCGGAACCCCAACCCCATGGATGCCCCCACCCCAGTCCACACCACGACCCCTGCGGGGTGCATTGAGGCAGGGGATGGGGGGAGCTCCTGCCTCCCAGCGGGCAGCCCCCATGCCCTGCCTTGCGCCCACAGGACTTCCACCTGCTGTACGAGGAGGCGCGCTACTACCAGCTGCAGCCCATGGTGCGCGAGCTGGAGCGTTGGCAGCAGGAGCAGGAGCAGCGGCGCCGCGGCCGGGCCTGCGACTGCCTGGTGGTGCGGGTCACGCCGGACCTGGGCGAGCGCATCGCGCTCAGCGGCGAGAAGGCGCTCATCGAGGAGGTCTTCCCCGAGACGGGCGACGTCATGTGCAACTCGGTCAACGCCGGCTGGAACCAGGACCCCACGCACGTCATCCGCTTCCCCCTCAATGGCTACTGCCGGCTCAACTCGGTGCAGGTGAGGCCCCGGAGGGGCAGCCTGGAGGGAGGGGCAGGGAGGGCAGCCCTGCCCAGCCCAGCCACAGTGGAAAAGGCAGCAACAATGTGTCCATGCATAATTTATGGCCCTCTCATAATTAAATGATGGTGCCTGGGGGGTGGACTTAAAAAAAATTTATCGGTGCTCTTTTTTCCCCCCTGTTCCAAAAAGATGTTCTATAAAAATGGCCTCAGAGTATTTTCAACAAATTGTGCCCCATTTGATACCCAGCGTCTCACTTTGGACCCCCATTAGACCCAGGCAGGCTAGGAGAGGCAGGTCAGCAGGAGCTGAGAGTGGGGGGAAGGGGCGGCGCCCCCGGGCATTTGGAGCCTTCCTTACCCCACTCACCCAGGGACCCAGACACCATGTGGCTGCTCTGTGTGGCTGCCCAGAGCTTATCTGGCTTGGCGGGCCCCAGATGGGTCTGAGGAGGGGGCCACTTCCCAGGGCCCTCTGCAGATCCGATGGAGTCTGAGGGGCGGGGGCTGGTGGGTGGGTGTTAGGCATGTGGCCCCCTCCCCCCCCAAAGGCACAGACCCACGTGGATATGGGCCCCCAGACCCAACAGCTCCCTGACTGCCTGCCCTGTGCTCCCGGGCCTCCTACCAGCTGGGACTCGCAGCTCAGGGGAGCAGGTGTCTGCCCCGGGGCAGGGGCCGGGTGGCTCTGTAATTGGGACAGGCGTCTGTGGGAGGGGGCAATGTGAGTGGAGGGAGGCAGCTTACACCCCGGAAAAGCGATGGGCCCCATCAAGGTTCTTTCCTGGCTTCCCAGACCAGAAGCCCAGAGCAACAGGATGGGGGTTTCTCCACCCACCCAGATCCGGCCCGGCTGCCCCTCTCCCCTTGGTTGCCCAACCCCACCCCCACCCACCCCCCCAGCCCCCCACCCCCGCCGCCCCCTGCCCAAGTGCTTCTGCAGAAACCCGTAGCAGGTCACCGGCTGGGCCTGCAGCCCTGGCTGGACCCACTTGGCCAGGCCACTTGGAAGTGCTTTCTTTCCACTGTGTTGATTTAACTCTATGTGGGTCCTTTCAGTCATGATATTAATGATCTTTAATGTGTTTTTATTTTACTCACTTTGGGGGAGTGGGGGTTTGTTTGGGGCCATACCATGCAGTGCTCAAGGCTTACTCCTGGTTCTGCATTCAGGACTCAATCCTGGCAGGTCTCAGGGGACCGTATGGGATTGAACCCTGGTCATTGTAAGGCCAGCGCCCTTCCTGTTGTACTATTGCACTGACACCAAGGTGTTTTGTTTTGTTTGTTTTGTTTGTATTTTAAATACCACCTGGTGGAAAAGCTGCCTAGGTGCTTCTCACACCCGGGACTTAGAGAGGGGGCTCCCGGCTCTTTGACAGATGGGGGTCAGAACTGTGAGAGCTGGGCTAGGGCAGGGAGGGGCTCTCGGGGCTCTCGGGGCTCACGACTCTGGACCCCACTGGGAGCAGTGCTGCGTCTGCTGCCTGGAACCCCCAACCCCCACCCCGTGGCAAGCCCTGATGGCCAGTCCCTGAGGCTGACGCCTTTCTGCCCCGCAGGTCCTGGAGCGGCTCTTCCAGCGTGGGTTCACCGTGGCTGCGTCGTGCGGCGGCGGTGTGGACTCATCCCAGTTCAGCGAGTATGTGCTGTGCCGTGAGGAGCGGCGGCCGCAGCCCACCCCCACCGCCGTGCGGATAAAGCAGGAGCCCCTGGACTAGGTCCTGCCGCCTGCCCACAGACAGTGCCCACCGACGGCTGGGCATGAGACTGGCAGTGGGGCTGGAGGGGCTGGAGCTGGCCCAGGAAGCCCCACGACCCTGGTGCTCTCCCTGCAGGACACGAGGTGCCAAAGGCACGCGGGTGCCTGTTCGGGGACTGTTGGTGGCACCTAGAGAAGCGCCGTGGGAACTCTGCCACCGGTTCCCCCTGGGCCCTTGGGCCCCAGCCTGGTGTGGCGCCCCGAGGCTGCCGGGCCTCCACCGGCAAGGCGCTGCATCCTCTGCCACGTGGGCAGGCGCCGAGGTCCGTTGGCGCCTGAGATGGCTTATTTTTCTACAGTATTTAAGACAGAAGCAACCATAGCGGCACAAGGCCGAGAGGCCGACAAGGACCCCGCTTCTTTATCTGGTGCTCAGTTCTCAACTGGACCTGCGACTCTCGGGGTTGGGAGGTGGGGCCCTGTGCTAGGGACAGACTTGGGGGTGGCAGTGTGGTGGGTGGGAGGGAGGGAGTGGGGGCCGGGGCTTCTGGAGCCATCTGAGAAGTCAACTGTGGCTGCCCCAGGCCCTGGCTGACCTCACACCTGCACGCGTCCAGCCCTCCTTGTGTGCAGGCATTCCTGGGCAAGGCCTTCCCCAGGGCCACAGCAATCCTTACCTCAGGCATGGGCCCCCATCGCGAAGGGGTGAAGGGGCCAGGCCATCAGCAGCGCCCTCTGGGTCCCCAGCTCAGGAAGTGTCCCCAGCTCCATTTATTTTTTTTCCATACGAATATGCACACTGAATTTTAATGAACTCTTGTTATACTAGCCTACTAGCCTGCCCATGAGACCCATTCACAGGCAGACCCAGGGCTTCCCCCCCCACCCCCCACCCCCGTTCCCATGAGGACTGGCCCGAGGGGTTCTCAGAAACCTGCTGCCTCCCAGATGACAGGCCCAGAGATGGACACCCCAGTTTTGTCACGCTTCCCGAGGAACCAGGAGAACTACTCGTGGGTGGGGTTTCTTGGCGGCCCCGCCTTCTGTCCGATGCCTGTAGACCTGTATATGACTCCTTTAATATTGTAAAGATGCTGATGTACAACTGTCATGTGTTTGTGTGAACACATTGCGTTCCTAGTTCATGCCATAAATGATGCTACCGAGCAAATGACTGAGGCTCCATCCTGTGTCAAAGCTGCAGCCGGCTCCCCGCATTGCCGGGGTGCAGGGAGGCTGGGTGGGCCTCCCCTCGTTGTGGAGGAAGAACAGGCTGCAGAACTTGGGGGAGTGGGGGGGGGGAGGTGGCCCCAGCTTTATTGATTGCATTTGGGTGTTTCCTCACTGCTCAGTCTGTGTCCTGCGTGGAACATTCTCAATTCTGCCTCACAGCCCCGAAGCAGAGGTGGCTGTTGGACAGAGGCAGAGACGCAGCCAGGGGCTTTGGGACCCATCTTAAGGGTTAGCGAGGTGCTTTCTGGGTTTTGCCCTGAGGTTCTCATCCTCGTTAGGGCCCCACTGAGCAGTCGGCTTGGTCTGACCAGGGGGACGTGCAGCCTGCAGCCTCAGCATGGTCAGAATTCAGAACAGGACCTGAGTGTTGCCAAGGGAAGACACTTCGCAGCCTCCATGAGGTCTGTCACATGAATGGTCCTCGGGATGTTTCTTCAGAGCCTGTAGGTGCTAACCCCAAACACCCTTTCCTGTATCCTGGGAGGACCCCCAGCCTCAACCAGCCTCGGGCTGAGGGCACTGGAGGGAGCTGCCTTGTCCTGGCAGAGGCCCTGGAGCAGACACCAGCCTGCCGGACAATCTAATTTGCTCGACCGACTCACTGTCTGCTTTGCTTAGCAACGCTCCTGCAGTTGGCACATCTGCATTTCGGCCTCTGAGGTTCCTATCGGAGAGGAGGAGAAAACGTGTTCATTAGAAAGAAGTGAAAACAGCTCAGCACTATTTATATGGAGTTTTCTGGACTGGTAACCAGAGTGGCAACTGATTGCTGGGGATTCCCTTAACATTTCAAGCAAACCAGTTTTCTCATTAAACTGTCATGCTAGGGGAAAAAAAAAGTAACTACCTTACTTAATGTTACTCTTAATTTATTTCTTTGCTAATTAAAGTCAGGAAGCACAATTTTACATAAACTACAGAATTTCTAAATTTGTAGAGAAATACTGGGCTCCCACGGTAATGCTGATCTGCATAGTCTCCAAATATAAGTGCAAACGAGCCATTCCTTTTAAAATAGGCCTATTGGGGACCAAAGTGATAGTACAGTGGGGAGGGCGCTTGCCTTGCATGCGGCTGACCTGGGTTCGATCCCCGGCATCCCATATGGCCCCCTGAGCACTCAGGAGTAATTCTTGAGTTCAGAGCCAGGAGTAACCTCTGAGTGTCACCGGGTATGCCCCCAAAAAAACCAAAAATAAATAAAAATTAAAATAGGCTTATGCTGGAGCGATAGCACAGCGGGTAGGGCGTTTGCCTTGCACGTGGCCAACATGGCCGACCCAAGTTCGATTCCTCCGCCCCTCTCGGAGAGCCCGGCAAGCTACCGAGAGTATTCGATATGCCAGACACAGTAACAACAAAGTCTCCAATGGAGACGTTACTGGGCCCGCTCGAGCAAATCGACGATCAACGGGAGGGCCTTTACCTTTACCTTTACTATGCTTTCAGGGATGGGTATAAGTAATCTTGGGGTCAAACGCCAACATCCTGGGTGCCCCTGCTCATTACAAATCTCGAAACCATCGTTGCTGAGAGGCAGCTGGTCCTGTGCATCCTGTCTCCTCCTGAGCCTGCCAGTGTGGCAGGCAGCATGGGCCCTTCTGCCCACAGCGCTTCGGGCCAGGTCACACTCCAGTAGGGTCTTTCGAAGCGTGTTTTTGCAACTACACTTGAGTGTTCCGTAAAATAAAGGCTATTTTATTAAACAACACACAGAGCTCTAGCTCTTGGTTTCTAACCCACTGAGACAGCCTCAAAAAGATGCCTTTGAGCCACTGGATCTCATGCTTGGGGACTTGGATTGGTCCCTTATTAGCCAATGTATGAGACCAATGGGGTCTCTGGCCCTAAGCACATAGGGTGCCTGGCACAGGCCTGTAGGAACCAGGCTCACGTGGACTTCCTCACCTCTGTCAAACCAGGGTGGACCTTTTGTACTGGGCTGATTTGCCGGCTGCATGTGTGCAAACTGAATCAGGAGTGCCAAGGGACACAGGTGTGAGCAATGGGGAGTGATGTCCATCGAGTGCCAACTTATGGGCCCAGGGAGCAACGCAGGTAGGGGTAGGCAGTGCCCTCTTTCCCATTCGGAGAACAGGCCTGCATCACAGGCATGATGTTCAAGTTGTAGAACATCAAATGGACCCAAAGGGAGCATAAGCCCAGTGGGGATTGCAGGTCTGAAAGGAAAAGCTGGCAGGTCGGAACTGCGTGGCACACAGCCCTGCCTTGGTGCCCGCGCACTCTCTGCCAGGGGTGCTTTAAGGGTTTCCGGTGGCGGGGAGAGGGGGACCTGGGTGTCACCTCTCCTCCATCCCCAAGTCCTACCCCCTCTCATTAGGGACACCGGGTGGCAGCCGATACCCCAGAAATGAACCAATATGGCATCATCCTGGTTCCTAGTGAGGCTCTCAGCACAGCCCGGCATGGAGTGGGCACATACCTTGTATCACTGCCTGGGGGGGGGACCATGTGCCCCCTCTCCGCCTTGTACCCGCCATGCTACCAAGGAGGAAAGGTGTGTGGTCACATCGCTTTCAAAGAGTGGCCTGATGTGGCTACCCTGTCTGGCCCTGGGGGAGGGGGTCTCGGCTTGTTACAGGGGTCTCCATCTCTCCAGCACTGGCGGCCCCCTGTGTCTTGCCTTGTGAGTGGAGGAGCAGCCTTCTGTGAGGGGGGTGTTTGTTGAGGGGAGAGATCTTTTGGGGGGGCTACACGTGGTGGAGCCAGTGGTGCTCTGGAGATCTTGCCAGCCAGGGATGAAACCTGTGTCTCCAGCAAAGCCTGCACTCCTTCAGCCCCGGGACTATCCCGTTGCTCTAAAAGTCCTTTGTTCATCCCCACAGTTACCTCACCTCCAGGCTCTGCAAAGGCATCATCTGCTAGAGAAGCCACGTTCGTTTTCAGAAGGCAAGCAAGGAAGAACCCCAAATTCCTTGACTACCTCAGAGAGACAAGGGCCCTCTTAGCCATAGGCTGTCCTCTCAACAGGGACTTCCCTGAATCCTTTTTTCTTTCCTTTTTTTTGTTTTGTTTTGGGGGCCTCATCCTCCGGTGCTCAGGGACTATTGCTTTCCAAGCTCGGTGCTCAGGAATGACTCCTGGAGGCGCTTAGAGGCCCATGTGCGTTGCTGGGGATGGACCCTTGTCGGTGGCCTTTGTCCTCTCTGCCCCCGACCCCCCCTTTTGTCTGTTTTTGTTTCTTCCCTGAAATTCTAACCAGACCCAGGGCAGGAGGCGGGCACGGTTCACAAACGGGGAAGGCTGGCGGTTGGTGGCACGAGGATTTGGGTCTTTATTTCCATTTCACCCAACTGCCACGTGGCCTCGCCTGACAAAGCTCTGCCTTGACCCAGAACCACTGAGGGACAAGAGCTGGGTCAGCCAGACCCGCCTCCCAGGGCCACCGCACAGAAACCGGGACACAGAGCCCAAGGGCCGGGGCGGGGCCGGGGTGGGCCGCCCAGCGCCGCCACCGAGGGTGCCCGCCCGCACCCCAAAACGCGCGCGCGCGCGCGGGAGGTGGGGCGCACCGCCGGGGGGTCGCGCCACCTGCCACCCGCTCGGGCTGCTCCGGGCCAAGCCGGCGGCTCGACGCCCTTGTCTCTCTTGTCGCGGGCGCTTCCTGCTCGGTGTCCTGGAGCTGGTCCAGGGCTCCCGAGGAAGCTGCGGTTTGGGGCGCACCCCGCGCCCGGCCCCGAGAGGCGGCGGCTCCGGCTCCGGACGCCGCCCCGCCCTCCTGGACGCGCACACACCCCCATTTCCCGGGGCCTGCAGCGCCCCGCCTCGCCCCGCAGCCAAACAGCAGCGAGGCGAGTCGCTACAGGGTTCTGGAATTCTCGCCCGGTTGCCACACAGGGTACGGAGCATAATTGGGGGAGGTTGCGCAATGCCCGCGAAGCCGGGGCGTGCTGCGAGGGCCCTCGGGGTTCTCAGCCCCTGCGCCAGGGCACCCGCGTCGGGTGGGTCCCCGGGGGGGGGGGGTGGTG